GAGACAAATAAATTGAATTAAATAAAGAAAAAAGACTGGAAACAAATACTGTGACATGTTAACAGGCATTCTCTGGAGGGGGTGAGGGAGTGAAATGATTGCTATTTTTTTTTCTTTATACCTTCTAAATTCACAAGAGGGTCCATAATGTATTTATATCACTTTTACAATGAAAAATAGTAGATGTAGTTTTCAAATATTAACTATATATTAGAAGGCTTAACAAAGGAATAATTGATAGGATGCATTTTTGAGTATATTGTAAATTGAAAAATATGATTTCTGGGGTGAACCCAAGATCATACAAGTGGAGGCATGAATCCTCAGTGACCTTGCTGAAGGCGTTGAGCAGGCAGGGATGGGCTTTTGTGGCAGAGAAGGGGGTGTGAAATAATATAAGGGAGACTCAGTGGGAGGGGGCTGCTCAATTCTGATTGCTAACAGGTTGGTCCTGGGAACAAAACAGCTTTGGAAGACCTCGAGGCAGTTGAAAAGAGGGCTAGAGAGAGCTGGAACCAAATGGGTAAAGAATAGATAGTTTCAGGGTCATCTAACATCCTGAGCATCATATATTAATCTAAATAAAAACTTCTAGCCAAAGCAGGTTTGCAAAAGGACCATTTATTCAACATTCAGGCAGGAAAGCAAGCCCTAAAAGCAGGCCCTCCCCATGTCAGGCTGTCTGCAGGGAGCAGCAGGAAGGTGGGTCTCAATCCACATTCATCTCGGTTAACCTGCTGATGGAGCAGAGCTCCACGGTCTCTTTTGACAGGTGGTAGAAATGTTTTGCAAACTCAAGTGCTTGGAATGTGGAAATGTCAGGAGGTGAAGAATCACTCTGCCTCCCCCACTTAATAGGAGCATGCTGTCTGTTGCAGGATGGATGGTCACAATATCACTTTGTAGCCTCATCTTCCACCATCGAGAGGGATCGGCAAAGGCCCTACTCCTCTTCCCGCACGCCCTCCATCTCCCCTGTGCGCGTGTCTCCCAACAACCGCTCAGGTAAGGACACCAGCCCCAGGAGGCCTGATATACCCCAGGGACAGCACCCTCCTTCCCAGCCCCGTAGCTGTCCCCCACAGAAATTAGAGCCATGCTGACTCATAATACATTTACTAGAAATGGCAAATGAATCCGCTTTCTCTTGATTGAGGTGGAGACTTTGTGTTGTGTATACACAGGCTCAGGACAAGTCTCTTTCCAGTGGACTTCTAAAACTCTCCAAACGGGAGTCATAGACCTGAAATGCATGTCATGGACCTGCCTTCCTTGAGGAGCAAGAATAAAGGCAACTGTCAAGTGTTTGCAAATCAGTTGCATTCTATTGATTCTAACTGGGATAACAGAGCAGGGGAGGGAGCCTGCTGTTGTTCCTTTAAGATGTTATAATTTAAAATATATTATTGAGGGGTTCATAACTATTCCACATCTGATTAGCTTTTTATTATTACCTTTAAACCAGCAGTTATATCATGATAAAGTCTTATTATAGCCAACTGTAACTTTAAAGTCATTCAGTTTAATCTTTGCTAATTTTTTGCACATTCCTAATGCTTAGATGTTGACCAACCTAACTTCTCTTATTGACTAGTAAAGGCACTTTGTTTTTCCACCCTTTTCCAGTCACATTAGATAATGCCTGAGATTAAAGAGAAAAAGTAAAGGCAAAACATGAGCACCTCATTTAGTATATAAAAGGCATAGGTTTTATTGTTATTTTAGTCAGAGTGTAAGTTTTGAAAATTCTCCTTTTGATTTCTACATTTTGGTGTTCTGTGTGAGAAGGAAGGATGGATAAAGAATTCTGTGCATGCGCGTGCACACACACACACACACACACACACACACACACTCATCCATAAGGGCTTTTATTAAGAAAAGTTTCTTCTTGCTCTGTGCTGCCCTCCTCCTGCTGAGGAACTGTTTTCTGGAAGTGCGTCTCAGAGGGCATGGTGGGGTGCTCGCCAGCATAGTGCTGTCTCTGCCCTTGAGGACATCTGTTATAAACCTTTACATCACACATTACCATCAGAATAATGAGGGAAGTGAGAAATGAATGGGGAATATTTAAGTGAGATTAATTACCCTTTCCCAGCCCCATGAAAGCTTGTATTTTTAGCGTGGTGTTATTGCTTGTACCATTTAGCCGGACACTAAACCAGGAACCCACGTGTGAGTGGAGAGACTTCCACCTGCCGCAGAAGCACAGACATGGCCTTTTATAAGTCTTATGCCTGGAATTCTTAAGAACACAGAATAATGAGTCTGGGAAGCGCACGGATGGTGCCATTTTAAAAGCTGTGTTTATTAAGAACCAGGCAGTGCTGGGAAGATGAGATGACGTAACGGATTGAAAGGTGCCCGAGGAGCGGCATTGCGTCAGGATCTCTCCATCCCGGCCGCTCAGCCAGGGGGCTGCCTGGTGTTTCTGAGCGAGGCACATTGAAAACATCTCATAAACACTCATCTGCATGATTTCATTTTTCCGGGAGTGTAATCCTGCTTTACTGGAGACTCAGGCTGCTGTGTGTGAGGTCTCAGAAGATAATTACACTCTTGAAGTCGTTTCATAAACCCCACCATGTGCAATATTGGATTCTAATTTTGAAAGCTTTGGTCTAGAGGCCCCAAAATGATGTCCCTATGTGACTTCCACAGTGACTCATAAAAGGCTATTGCATTTATGCAGAAAGACAGGAAGCAAAAGAGCAAGGGCAGGAAGGGGCTCTCCCAGGAGAGGGGGAGAGAGAGCAGGAGAGGGACAGGCAGAGCGTGAAGGAGGCAAGCAGGACCCAGAAGCCAGCGCTCTTGACAATGTGCAGGAGCTCCATCCACGCAGAGCCCAGTTGAGTTACATGAAGGAAATGCAGTTTTCTTCCCGGTCCTCCCAACAGGTTTACACCCAGAGTCTGGTCCCATTGGTTTGGGTGGGTCCCAGTCGTCAGTGTATTTTGAAGTATTACAGGGATTTGAGTCCCATGATCACCAGGAAGGGAAACCTCTGAGGGTTTCAAGAGCTGAGCAGTGAGCCTCGATTTTATTTTGATAGATTGGAGCAGTGAGTGGGGTCCTTCAGGAAAGGGGGGCCTGCACTTGCCGTGACTTCCACGGAGCACTCTGGCCCTTATTCTGGAGTGTTTGCACACCCGTTTCCTCACCTGATTAAGAGCTCAGTTCAGAAGGTGCGATGTGATTCATATTTCTGTCTCCCAGTGTCCAGCATAGGAATTTGCACATAGGCAGTACCAAGTTTGATGAAGCGCATCAAGTGGCTCAGTCTACGACACAGAAATATGTACAGGCAGACCCAGTGAGGTGGAGCTGAGGGATCCTACAGAGGGTGAGGACAATAAGCTGAGAGGGAAACTGGGGCTTGGGCTCCAGCAAAGGAAAGAGGGCTTTATCCTAAAAATCAGGATTCCCTTAATAATCATCATGCTTATTAAAGATGGAGTCCTAGGCCCACCCACTGAAAATTCACATTGCAGAGGTCCACAGTGGGGTCCTGGAACCCCTAAGTTCTCAGGTGAGTCTTAAGGCTAAGCAAGTTTCTGAAACCCTGCCCTGGGGCATGGAAGCTTTGGGGCAGAAGAGGACTGTGCCTGAGCTCCACTGAGATGGGAGCAGTGGACTAAGCTCCGGAAATGAGCTGTGTCGTTGAGCAGCGTGGAGATCACTGTGCAGACAGCCCTCGGGGTGAGGCGCATGGGGAGCTGCCTTACTCTAATTACTCCACTTCTGCAACACATCTCTGTGCTGGTAGGGCTGTTCATTGCTCCCAATCCATCCAGTCTTTTAAGAAATCTAAACCCCTTTCCATTTGCTTCTGTACCAGCAAGTTCAACTTTTGCTCTGCTCCGAGACCTGTTTGTTAAAGACTACTGGAATTCCCAGAGGAATGAATCCTTTCATTACAGCTCAGCGTTTTAGAAATGGAGACACAAAGAGACGACAGGGTTCACGCCCCCTGGGTCTAACAGGCAGCAAGTGGCCAAGCTGCAAGGTGGGAGGGACAGATTATTAGTGGCATTCACAAAAGAGCTGGAGCCAGCATGTCCCATCAGGAAAAGCATTCTGCACGCCGTGCTCCAGCCCCCTGTGCAGGCTGGTCTTTCAGCGTTGGGTTATCTTGTCTACACAAATCATCTCATGTGGAAGTTACTTCCTCTGCCTTCCTTTAGGACAGTTTCCATGTGACTCAGTATTTAAGTAAAACACCCCCTGGGTCTAACAGGCAGCAAGTGGCCAAGCTGCAAGGTGGGAGGGACAGATTATTAGTGGCATTCACAAAAGAGCTGGAGCCAGCATGTCCCATCAGGAAAAGCATGCACGCCGTGCTCCAGCCCCCTGTGCAGGCTGGTCTTTCAGCGTTGGGTTATCTTGTCTACACAAATCATCTCATGTGGAAGTTACTTCCTCTGCCTTCCTTTAGGACAGTTTCCATGTGACTCAGTATTTAAGTAAAACTCTTTTACTTAAATTTATTTATTTTAATCAGGGATTCTTCAATATCAGTAATAGCTCCTCTGAAACACATCTAATTTAACAAAGGAAGGACAAAGAAAGAGAATAGAGGGAAAGGGAAATGAAAGAGAAGTAAAGGAATACGACTGGTCTCATCCTTAAAAGACTCCCACAGCCCTTGGGTGGGTCATGTCCTCACCAGGGTGTCTGTCTAAGGAAGAGAGTCCCAGGATGTAGTCCTTAATTACCTGCCTCCGAGTTGATTGTCCCTTTAACCATGAAGTGCCAAGTGACATGGAAGAAGGGCAGGGGATGAAGATAAGAGCCCAGGAACAAAACCATCATCAGGTCCTTGCACACGTAATGCCATATGCTGAGCAGGTGTCTTCACACCCTTAGCTCTTTGTGTGAAAAGCTGTCCGTGCTGTGGATGGAGACACAGAAAGTCATCGTTTTGGTTTCTTTATGTAGCAAGTGCCCCAGCTTCACCTCGGGAAATGATCAGCCTCAAAGAAAGGAAAACCGACTATGAGTCCACGGGAAGCAGTGCCACTTACCACGGAGCTAAAGGAGAACACACTTCCCGGAAAGACACGGCAACAGGTGAGCTCGGCTCTGTGCTCTGCCTCCTCAGAGCGGGCAATTCGATCTGGGACAGGGCAGAGGGCCGGGGCCGCAGGCTTCCCGCCGCTCAGCAGCTCAGCCGGACCTCCCAGCTAGGCGGCATCTGAGAGCCCGGCAGGGCTGAGCCCCGGGAATGGGCATGAGGAGGTGGAGCCACAGGGTTAAAAGCATCAGATTCGTGAAGATAGTGAGGAAGAAATGTTCTCTACACTCATTTTATCCGCAGGCTTGCTTCACCTACCCTTCTCCTTCTCGACTGCCCACCTCATAAGGTTCCCTAAAATCAGAGACAGTCACCGTAGATGTCTTCCCTGGCATGGCCCAGCGTAGAGAGGATCCCAGGATGGTGGGTGCAGGACAGCCAAGCTTTGCCCATTATGACTGGAAGAAAGGGAAAAAGGATAAGAGAAGAGAGAGGAAGGGAGGAGAGGGGAAGGGCCGAGGGTCAGGGGAGGTGGGGGAGCAAAGGAGGAGGATTTCAGGGAGGACCACGGAGCTCCTGTTGAGACACTCTCTCCTCCTCCTCCTGGTAATGAGACCAGGCTCTTCCCATGACAAACCCCTAAGACGATGCATTTGAACCACAGGACCGGTTTCCCCAGGCGGCATCCAACTTTAATGCCCTTCATCCCTCACTACCTCATCATACCCATCATCTCTCCTTCCCAATCAGCTGGGACCCCGTGGAGGCCAGAGCAGGGCCCACTGCCACTCCTCTGTGTGCCCTTTCCAGACTAATAGCCAGGCTTGAACTTGTTAATTTTACTCCTTTTACTCTGTAAGACTCCCCCAGGGACAGGATCTGCTGTTCACACTTACCGTCTGTCCAGCTCTCCGCATGCTCCGCCCTGCCTGGTTTGCCCCTCCTCCCAGCTCTCCGCATGCTCCGCCCTGCCCCAGTTTGCCCCTCCTCCAAGAAGCTGGCCTTGGAAGCACTGATGTAGAGAAGGTCAGGCCTCGGAAGCACAGCTGTAGTAGCCATCAGGTTCTCCAGCGGGGCCACACCCTTCTTTGCCACAGGGCTGCGGAGGTGGGCTCCTCCTGAAAATAGGCCATGCAGAATAGGGCTTTAACAGAACAGGGCCAGATAAGGCCATTCATAAAACAGAGGTGTAAAGGACACAGTCCTAAACAGACATTGAGACCCTCTTATCAAAAGAATCTTAAAAGTATGAGGCACATTTCTCTGATATTTTTACAGTATAGGCCTGCAGGGAAGCAGAATAGACAAACTAGATGAGTTATTAAGATGTCTTCCAGTCCCAGAATGCCTAAAATAAATTTTTCTAATGGTGAATATATTTACCCAGAGGCAGTGTTTTCCATGATAACTGCCTGGCTGCATGAAGAAAAGCCTAGCAAACAGATACTTAGGATTTTCACCCCCAGTTCAGCTCTCTGCCTCCATGTACAGATGCTAAAAGGGAACATCTTACCCTTCTGCCTGGAACGTCTCCTGAATGGGAGAACAGAACTCATTACAGAGGATGTGCCAGCTTACCCTCGTCCACTGCTTTTACCCCATGAATGCTGCTCCAGTTGCAGATGAGCAGGAAACTAAGAAAGCTGTGAATATGAATGCTGAGTCTCTGCAGTCAAGACATTCAGTAGAGAATCTAATTGGTAGTGATTATTCTGGAGTAGCAGTGACACCAAATTGCCCTGACCCATTTGTTTTACCATTATTATTGCCCTGGGGAGCCACCTCACCAGCAGTCTGGGATGACGAATTGAAATTAAAATTACAAGAATAATTGTGAAATTGACTGCATTGTTATTTAAGTTTAACTTTTCTCTGAACTCTCTCCTGTAGAATCATTCAAAAGACTTTTAAAGGTGGGTGTGTTTATGTTGAAATAATTCCAACGGCACCTGATCACGCCCTGCACACATAATAAAAAAACAAAATAAACTCTAATATGTTTCTAGATGTTTAATCTTCTAGAAGCTGTCAGGGATCTTGACAAGTCTAGTATTGAGATATATGTGATTTTTCAAATTTATTCAGAGGCATAAACAGCTTTGTCCTAACTTATTTTAAAGTGTGATTCCAAACCACACTATCAGTCATGTAGCAAGCCTAGAATAACACTGAGATCTTTATTAAATAATGTTTATACATGAAGATTCCCTTTAGCCAACAAGTGCCCTATAAAAGTTAGTTGTTGTTATCACAGTGATGGTGGTGATGGTGGAGATGGTGATGGTGAAGGTGTTAAATGGTGGTGATGGAGATGGTGATGGTGGAGGTAGAGTGGAGGTGATGGTGATGGAGGTGGTGATGGTGGAAGTGGTGGAGGTGATGGTGATGAAGGTGTTAATGGTGATGGTGGAGGTGGTAGTGGTGGTGGTAGTGATGGTGGTGGTGGTGACGGTGATGAAGGTGTTAATGGTGATGGTGGAGGTAGAGGTGGTGGTGATGGTGATGATGGAGGTGGTGATGGTGCTGGTGGAGGTGGAGGTGGTGGTGATGGTAGAGTTGGTGGAGGTGGTGATGGGTGACCTGGTGATGGTGGAAACACTAGTAGTGAGGGTGGTGGAGAGAGTGGTGCTGATGAGGGTGGGGTGGTAGAGGTGTAGGTGTAGGTCATAATGAGGGAGATGGTAATGGTTGTGATGAGACTGGCAGTGATGTTTGCCACTTTCAGTGGTGGTGTGACCAAGTCCCTGGCCAGGCCAGGTGGGAGCCAGCATCTCATGTAGTAATGGAAAGGGTGAATTGCAAATCCCTGCTTTACTACACGTCAAATGCCCAGCATCCCAGCATTTACTTGCAGATCAAATATCTTGTGACCTCCATGGCAGAAGCAGTGCTCTTTCTCACTAACAAATAAATCCAGGAGACAGTACACCGAAAGTTCAGTGCATTGAAAAATATCTGAAAAACTACCATCTTCTCATTTCTAAGGCATCACAGGATGTCCTACCATTTCCCCCAAAGGAAACATTCCCCGTGCTGTGGGAAAACTATGGAAAGCTTCACCCTCAAAATGCAACACAGGAAAACTTAAAGTGAAAGCAGTTCCTTAAGGGCCTGGGTTATAAACCCCTGTAACTGAGCTCTTAGAAATGCAGATCCGTCTGGGTTTTTATGCCAGGCTTCTCCCACCCACCTTTCCTGAATTCATTTTCTAACTGAGATGGAGTTTCTTAAAACATCTTCTCTCCTTAGTGTTTATCACTGAAGCACCTTCAAAAAGCCAAAGCCAGCTGTTCATTCAGGCGTGCAGGACTGTTACAGCTATATCCTGAAGTCATGATTCCCTGGGAGCATTACATGCTCAGAAGCACGCATCAGGGAAGGGCTGTGTGATCCCAGCCCCTGCAGTTTGCCCTCCCACCTGAGCTTCCCAAATGCCATTACATCAAACAGTCTGACTTGTCAAGAACTCTCTTATGACTTTTAAGGCCATTGTAATCCTCAGTATATTGATTCAGTTGGAAATCGGGGCCCATACCAGAAAGAGGAAGGCATTTCCGCATCTCAGCACAGGTGCACAGGGCAGAGCATCCATGATGACATCTACGTCATGGGCCTGCAGAGGCCACCAGTTCAGTCTCAGCTGCACGGTCCCTGTACACAGGTGTCCTGGGCCAGAGAGCAGGAGGAAAGAACTTCCAGCTGAAACATCTTT